CCCCAAAACCCCAAAACCCCAAAACCCCAAAGATCGTAATTCGTTGTATTAGTCATGAAATCAAAATTAAATTAAAAATATCATAAGTATATTATTTAGTTGTCTCTTCTTTGAGTATTGTTTTTTTTATCCCTCAGATTTGATTCATCTTTTAGCTTTCTTTTTGGGTTATTCACTCTCATATGATTCCTCTTCATCATACTCGGATTCTCTTGAAAGATCACGGCTATCATCCTCATCTTCATAAGATGTTTAATTATTTCTACTCTTTGATTGATTTTTTTCTGAAGCATCTATCTCACTTATGTCATCACTCTATTACTATGTGGTCTCATTTTTCTTGGTAGTTACAGTTTGTGACATAAGAGATTCACTCTTCTCCTCTTCTGATTGATTGGCATTTGAAGGTTGTTTCTTAATTGCAGCATCATCTCCTTCTGTTGGCTGGGGAAGTCCAACAATTTGGTCATCATCTGCCTTATTAGCTTTTTCCTGCGCTTCTTTTTACTTCTATTCCTCAGTCTTATTTTTATCTTTGAGTTCTTTCTTCATTTCATTTATTCTTTCTTCTTTTTGTCTCTTTCTCTCTTCTTCTACTTACTCATGAAGGTTCTTAAACTATGATCTAATTGCAATTTCCTTTGGTACTATTTCAGGTTCAACAGCAACAGGAGCCGTAGCACCGTTCTTTGTACTTAGGAAAGCAAATTAGCATATCAACCAAATTAAGGCCTAAAATCCAAGAAATGCTGTAAATGTATACGCCATAGGAGTAACTATTAATATAGATATAAGAGTTAAAAATGTTACCAAATCCTCTAAAATTCATGGCACAAAAGAGATCTGCTCTTGCCCAAACCATTGAAGCTGTTGTGATATAGAAGACGCCTGCTTCATTCAAAATAGCGACTCCATTTCTGTAAGGATACTTGTAAGGCTGTATTGCTGCAATATACGTCATAGTCTAAAGACATTATTTAAAAATCATATCTTACCACAGCAGCCATTGTACTTAGAAAGAATAGTTAATAGTCAACGTTTGTGTGAAGCTTCGCTAGTACAAGAGCTATTACCATTCTCTTAATGCAAAACATGACCATAAAACCGTATTAATAGTAGTTATCGATTTTGTATTCCTCAAATAATACTTAATTTCTGTAATTATTCCTAATGATCTTTACTTAATCCTCTATTACTTATTTATTTTCCTTGTTTTATTCACCAGTGAATACACTTTAATAATCCAGGGCTTTTTTCAATGATTTTAACTCTTTATAGAAATATACAGTCTCAGCTAGATAGTAGAGAGGAACAATAGTTATGTACAATAGCATAACAATAGATGCGTAGGAATTAAAAGCTTTAGATGGAGTTGTAGTATCAAAGAATGTAAAATTAAGCATAGTTAGGAATGCTACCTTTAGGTAGGTGATATTTATAATTGCGATAAGGTATCTTCCTTTGATAAATCTATCCATATTGTCAATCACAACAGCATTGGGTAACAGTAACTTGATCACAGAAATTGCTGGTATTACAGCAAGAGCAAACATTGCTATAGTTAGCATATCTGCTAGATTATAACCAATATTATTGTACTCATATCCATTTTAAACAAAGTTCGAAGTTGGTGGTCTCATTTCTGTTACATTACCATCGTTACACATTGCATGGCGCATCCAAGTTGCGATACTGTCCTCTTCCATATTTGTCCATTTAAATTCTTGATAGAAATAAATTCCACAAGATGGAGCTGCAATTGATGCTACTGGTATTAAGTGAGTCTGCTATAATAAATAGAAAGCATCCCATGCTCCTCCAGCTGAATATCCTAGAAGCGAGAATATCATTCCAAATGCCAATTAGCCACCGACAATGTAGAGGCCGTAGGTTCCAACACCTGCAGATTAGCAGTATGATTGAGGAGCTAGCTTACTAAAGTACAATGGAAAAGTCCAGCACGGAAGCGTTTATAAATATTTGTTGCAAAAGAAATGCTTGATTTGAGAAACATTCTTGAGACAAACAGTCAGATTTTCCTAATAATTCCCAAGTAACTAAGTATCAAGATAGTCAATCATGATCGAGAATTCTTTTGTTTAGACTTTGTTGAAAATGAAATCAGCATCTTTTAAGTACCAAGAAAAGTTATATGGAGCTAATGGGCCTGTTACTTCCACTGATATGGCCTTGTGGATATCAAATCCAGCTTGTAGAATAACAGAATTGTTGAAGTATATTGTCACATTCGATTAATCATCTGCCATTGTAGCATTTGTTATGCCTATTGTGTTTATTGGATCTATCCAGCAAGTAGTAGGAGAGAGCCCATCACATTCCCAGCACTCCTCTATTCTACATTTATCATCACAACCATCATCGTTAATAAGATCTCCATCATCACAGGAAAATGAACCAAGCATAATACCATCCCCACATACTTCATAACACTTATCTCTGCCCTTCACTGCATGTACACAATAATAGCCTTCTTCAACTTCACATAAATCGTTGCACCCATCAGTATTTAAAAGGTTTCCATCATCGCATTCAACAGATTCAAGATTTATGCCATCTCCACATACTTCTCTACAAGCATCTGCTGTTGTAGAGTTTCCACCAATACACTAATAGCCAGATTCAAGTGTACAAGTTGAGCTACAGCCGTCTCCAGAAACAGTGTTCCCATCATCACAATTGAAGTATCCACTATTTCTTCCATCTCCGCAAAGTTCCACACAGGTATCCCTCCAATGATGCTCACCTCCTGTACATCTGAAACCAGCTTCTTCAATGCATCCTGAACTGCAGCCATCTCCATTGATGTCGTTGCCATCATCACAATGCTCATGGTAAAATTTTCTCCAATCTCCGCATTCATGCGTACAGACATCTTCAACTCCTGTATTTCCCCCTGAGCAGGTCCAACCTCTTTCAATTCTACATGTAGGATCGCAGCCGTCTCCAGGTCTTTAGTTTCCATCATCGCACTCATTATTGTTCAAATAGTTCCACTATCCCTAAACACCGTAGTTCAGTCCATCTCCGCAGATTTCATTGCAAGCGTCTCTCGAAAACCAGTCTGAGTATCTGCAGTCATAACCTCCATCTATAAGACATCCATTCCACGAGCAACTGAGAAATTATGAAATTAAGATTATTAGTTTAATTACCCATCATAATATCTTTGAAAAGGATAGTTAACATTTCCATCATCACATTCATATTAGTCATAATCCCAAGAATCTCCACAAACTTCCAAACATTAATCTATTTCAAATATTATATATCCTCATCAATACCAATTCCATAAGGAGATCCCCTTGTACATTCCCATCCTTACTCTACTTCGCAATTAGGATTACAACTAAAACATTATCTTAAAAAAAGTTAAAGGATACCCATCAAGAGGTGAACCGTTCGAATCAATACATGGTTAATCACCATAATCAGAAGTTCTAATTGTGCATTTTGTGGTGCAAATATCTGGTAACGGGAGGTCTCCGTACTTGCAAGTATAGTCAGGAGACTCAATCTAGCACTTAGAATCACAGCCATCTCCATCAATCGTATTTCCGTCATCACATGGATATTTAAAGTAATCGTATCCATCACCACAGATCTCATAGCAGTCATCAGCTTTTGTAGCTGTGCCATTAGCACATGTCCAACTATTCAAAATAATATTCAAGACAACTATTACCCTGTATTTTAATTGCAAAGAGAAGTGCATCCGTCATCAGTTATCATATTTCCATCATCACAATCTTTAGCTTTAATAATGAACGGGGTAACCTGAAACCTAACATTTGTACTATCAGTACAGCTAAAACTACATACACTAGGGCCAACCGTATCTGTAAGTGAGGGAGTGCAAGTATAAAGCTACTCAATTTAGCATGTCTTGCTACAGCCATCTCCTCCAAGGATATTTCCATCATCACACTCTTCTAAATAAGGAGTAGAATAGTAAACATATGAGTCACCACAGTAAGGGCAAAGAGTCTAAGCGTAAACAAATTACTTGTATGGAACGACTGTAGTAGTATCTAATCCACAAGAGTAGCATTCATAATTCTTGGCATTAAAGCAAGATGTACAGTTTAAATCACAAGGATCACAACTATTTCCATATTGATTATTAGCGCAATTAGAGTAGCATTCAGCAGTTGTCTTATCGCAATAATCTAAAACATGTTTGATTTAAGCCAGTTACTTACTGCAGTTAACACCGTTGAATGGTACACATGTTGTGGCATAAGTATGAGTGGCCTCCTAATTGCTTATGGGATAATCGTAGAAATGAATAGATTTGATTGTGCCTCTGAAACTATTTTGGCCTAGACAAATCTGCATATTTCCTGGGTCTACAAATCTTGCAGCTACTTATGAACAACTTGAGCAAGTACCAATAGTTATGCAAATATTTTAGGCTGTTTTAGTTTATACTGACATTGTTAGCACAACGTAATACCAAGTGTTTGAGCCTAAAGGATGAAGATTTAATTAGTATATTTCAAAAGTAGATTTGCTTGATAAGATAAATAATAACTTACTATAAGTACAAGACAAGGTAGTTGACAAAGCACCGAGTGTTACAGTAAATCCTGAGCCGGTTGCTCTTAAATCGACATAGTTCGCTCCTGCTCCAGTTTTAAGTGTAACTAAGGAACCAGCGCTGCTATATTTAAACCAAACACCAAGTGAAAACCCAGTCGTTGTTGAGCCATAACTAAATCCAGATGCGGAGCAAGTAGGGCTATTGTCAAAGTAGAAACCTTAGTTATCAACACTATATATTGATTCTTATTAGCTTTTAAAATGCTTACTAGTAAGGAGAATTTACAAACCAATCCTAAGCTAAGGTAAATGAGGGCCCTGTGCCATGATCAGCGGTTTAAGTACCAATCCAAGTTGAGGCTCCTAAATCACTTCCTTCTTTAAAGTCATAAATCAAGAATTCTGGATCTCTTCTTGATATTGGGCACACTCCAGTAGAGTCACACATTGTACAATTTCCAGTACATCCTGAGCATTGGTAGTCAGCAGCAAAGGTTGCTGCTGATGAAATATCACCAGTGTATCCAGCTACACTCTTAATGTATCCTGAAAAAGGGGAAGTTCCTGAGAATTCAGTGCCAGCTCCAGTATTGGTATTTTTCAGTTCGTTTCCGATACACATGAAGTACGTATCATCATCATAATACTCTCTGTTCATTATGTTGTTTGTATTTGCAGATCTTACAGTCCCACAGCTCCCTGAAAAGATAATTAGATATTAATAGAAATGGAGTTTTATATTTGCTGATTAATGCTTTACCTTCATTTATCACAAATATGTCTGAGTCCATTCTTTTAGAGCCAAAAAATAATCCTCCTCTGACATTGAATGACACTACTAAATAATTCCATCCACCTAAATGAATTATAAATGAGAAAAAATTGTTCGAAATTGAGATAGATATATATCCGGCCAGGCATTTTTAGAATTAATGATTAATAATAAATGAGAGAATTTCATCTTACTCTAGACATAAACTGAGTTTTAATATTGAGTTGTGTCAGTGTTTCCAGGATCTCCAGGACTTGCAGCATCATTCATATCCACGTAGAGTCTTGTTCCAATTGTATAAATTCGAAGCTATGTTTGCATATCACCTGTTGCAGGATCAACCTATAAATAATTGAGAATGGATGAAATAAGGATTTTAGCATTTTTAATTACATTGTATTTTCCATATAATGTTTGCTCACCGACAGTGTCAAACATGTAAAACCACAATCTCAAATTGAAATCAGATCCGAGGTTATAGGATGCATAACCCATGTCTCTTGTAGAACAAGCCATATTTTGAGATTCATAGAGCCCTCCATATTAGGTTACTATCGGTTCTTGTGAATCAGTAGGATGATCGGCTATAAATTATCAAGAAATCAAATACTACCATATTCAATTTAAGTTGTCCCTCCTAGAGTATTTGTGTAAGGTTAAGCTCCCCAGAAATCGTATTTAAAATCGCATTTAACTAAACATGTGTGAAAAGAGGAATTTTTATTTTACCATGCGATACCAGTATTATTAGAGCCAACAAGATCTATTTTTTTGAAGTCATTTTTAATATTTGCAAATAAATGTTATAATCACTTTAAATCCTCCTTAGGTGAACTAATATTAATATATCGTATTATAAGTTTACTAGCCTAACTATATTTCTAAGTATTTCCAAATTTTCAAGATTAATTCTCTATGGGGTTTTGGGGTTTTGGGGTTTTGGGG